TCCTCCCGTCATCCAAGTCTCTCCACCCCGTGGTTTAAACGGCTGGAAGGAGGAGGAACGCGTTGTAACACGAGGACTGCGCTAAGTTGACGGTTTAATCAAGCGAGAAACGCCTTTGGAGAACTTCTGAACACTCAATTATACGGCGCTTCGCTTGCTTCCGCCTCGTCTTCTGCTTCTCCTGGAAAGCAGCCCCCGTCTTCCTTCCTTCCTTCCTTCCTTCCTTCCTTCCTTCCTTCCTTGGGTGAAGTGGATCTCCAAACAATCCTTATCCAGCCCTCTCCTCTCTTTCTCTCTCCTTTCCCTCCCGGCACAAAACCTGCTTTGAGTGGAGTTTTTGAATCGGGGGTGGGGTTGTCTCTTTTCTCCAATATGGGGGTGCCTTGGAGCTTCGCGCGTCCGGCTTTCGTTTCCTGGAGCTAAAAGCGGCCTCTTGGTCCTCGGGACAAGCTTCTGGGGGGTGACCCTGGGGATCCACCTGAAGGGGTTCCCCTCCCCCCCACCCAAGCCCTCTGGTTCCTCACTCGCTTTGGATTAACAGCCTCAAGATGGCCTTACGGATTTCCTTTTGGATGCTAAGAGCCCGCTAAGCCGAAGAAGGATGGAAGTGCCCGAAACTACTTAGCTAAAGGACAAGTCTCGGAGGAGGAGGGTCTTTGTGGGGGGCCCTGTGGAATATCGCTGCCCTGGATCTCCCAGGGAGGGCCTGGAGCCCCGTCCGTGGCATGACCGCCTGCCAGTACCCCGTGGGTCCGGGCCACGACCGAGACCGGATGTACCAGCACAAAGTCTCCTTGGTGGTCCGCTACTTCATGATCCCTTGTAACATCTGCCTCATTCTCCTAGCCACCTCCACCCTGGGATTTGCTGTCCTGCTTTTCCTCAACAATTGTAGGTGTCCTTCCACACCCCACCCACCCTAACCTCGGTGTCTCACGTGGCCGGGGAGGCGTGGGGAGGGGAGGAGCTGAACCGAAGCAGGGGAGGAAGGGCTGGCGGGGGCGGGCAGGGTGGTTTTTCAGCGGTATCTTTCCCTGCCTCCCTTTGGAAGGGGAATTGGGGGGTGGGTTTGCATCGAGGGGGTCTCTCTTTTTTTTAATGGGTATGATTCCCCCATCTTTGGCCTCTGGACTGATGGGACCTGGCTTAACCCTGAACCTTCCTTCCCGCCCCACCCCAAAAAATTAATGTTTTCGTTAAATGTTGAGTCGCAGCATTTAACGACCGGGGGGGGGGCTCGATGTGAGGAGCTGGGCAGTCACGCCTGGGTTGTGGCTTTGTGTCAGAGGAAGCAAAAGCAACCACCTGCCTCGGCTGTAAAACTTTGCATATTAAACCGGCAGCTGGAGGAGCTCGAGGCCTTTCCTGCCTCACTTCTTGGGGAGCTTTCCAGCTACCGGAGGCTGGCTGGGGTGGTGCTGCCGGACCCTTTGATCGACGCTAAGATGGGTGATCGGATCAGGGTCTTGTCCTGCCCAGATAATTGCGGGGAGGGTGGCTGGGCTTCTGCTAGGCAGGTAAATAGTTTTCCTCCGGGGGCGGGGTGGGAGAAGCCAAGCCATGTTTCCACAGCCTGCTTTCATCTCTCCCAAGAGGAGAGGAGTATTGCTAGTGTGTTTTAAATGAAAGTGCAACACACACACACACACACACACACACACACACACACACACACACACAAACCTGATGCTCAGCTCCAGAGTCTGCGTTGTTGGGCAGAATCCCCCGTACTGGGTAGGCTGAGATGGGACAATGGTGTGGCTAGCTTCAGTTGCCTTCTCCAACATCAATTTCTCCCTCCCTCCCTCCCTCCCTCTCTCCCTTTTCCCCTCTCCGTCC